GTAGGGAACCTGCTTTGGCAGAGGGGTTGGACTGGATGATCTCCTGAGGTCCCTTCCAACCCCTACCATTCTGTGATTCAGGTTGATGTGCTGGACATGGCAAAAGTGTAGCGTAAGAAGGGAAGAGGAATGGTTCAAATGGAAAGCACTTCAATCACTATGCGTAATTTTTGTTACCTTTATGTGATGAATTTTTTTGGGGAGAAAGGTAGAGGTGGAAGAATGCTCTGGAAGAGTGTAGTTCTACCACTGAGTTGCATTACTGGAATTGTGTGTTCCTCTGAAACTAATTAATACACTGCAAGAATATATAGATGTGACTGTGCAGCGGCAACCCTACCAAAAGTGTACTAAGTTATAGAAAGGAGTAATATATAGTACAGGTGTTGTTTTTTTAATATCATGCAAAGTTGAAGTGGCATATACAATAATTTCAAAATTTTTTTTTCTCTACAAACTATTCTTTAGTATTCAGGTCACTTGTTGACTTACATTTTACTTCTAACATCCTTTGAATTGTAAAAGAGGAAGAACTGAAACAAAATTGGATGTGATATATTTACTTTCTCTAGCAACTGTTTCTAATAAGGGCAGCTATGGAACTCTAAGCATGGTCTGTCATTTCATAGGTGTTCATTATAACATGTCTTTAGATCACTGTACTTAAGTTGTACAATCTGAATGGGAGTTTGAAAAAGCCTTTGCGTTTTGCAGCAGGGAAGAATTGTAAACCATTTCTGGAGATTGCAAAATGATGCCTAAAATATTTTTTAATTTAGTAGAATTTCTTGTACAACTAAGTTTCTATTTATTCTTACTAATACTTGTTTACTGTGAACAGGCTCCATCTGGTAATTACTTCTAGTCTCAGATTACTGTTGTACCTACACTAAAAAAAGTTATTCTCTGTTTTAAGAGTTTAAAAATTGCCTCTTGGTGAAAATTGTTTCGTGATACTGGTGGATAGTTTTTATATCAGCTCTTGATAAATTCTTCTGTCTTAATCCCTATGACATAGTATAGTCTGCTGCCAACCATGTATTTGGGAGGAAAATTATAATTGTTTCTAATCCTTGTTTTTGTTTCCTAAAAGCTTTGAAAAGTAAACTTCATTCACTTACATCCTATCCCTTTTTAGTGTTCAGTGTAGAAGAAGGACATGAGTGGTAAGTGCAGTGACAACCAGAATTGGAACCTCTCATAAAGGGCTGCAATATTAGGCTTTCCTGTTTAAAGTTTCTTTCTGTATCTTTTCCCTAACTTGTTAAACTTTGATTTTTCAGTATGACTACTTTTGAAAAACATCTTGTGATCAAGTTTAATGCAGTTACCAGTTACTCTGTTTAGTTACAGCTGATATTTTTTTCTGTGTGAGGATTTCTCTTCCTGAAGCATTCTTGTTCATGGTGGTAATGTACATTAAAAATTTGATTGCATCGATTGTTAATCTAATAGGTAACCTAGTGATACCTAAACAATTTATTAGTCTAGTTGTGATCTCTACTAGATAAGTTATTGATAAACACTTTCATATTGGTTAGTGTTTTTTCCTTGCTTTCTAAAAGTCTGTTAGTCGAAATCTGCTGTTACAGCTCAATATATGTGCATACTAATTTCATTATAGCTTAATCAGGAAACTTGGTTTCCTCCAGTATTTCACTGGTTTTTATTTTGCGTACATTTTTCTTGCTAAAAGAAAAGGAGCTTGCTGATGGTAATAGGAAGCAATGTTTTTTCAGCAACACTAATATTTTTTTTAAAAATAGAGTACTTTGAAGGGCTGGTAATGCAGTAATTATTCAAACTGTGCAATGGTCGCTATCCTGTTGTGAATGGCTCACATAGATTTACATTAAGTCTCCATCAGAGCCTTTTTACCAAATAATTCCAGTTCTAGGAACTGCTTTTATTAATGTCACTGATTTAGAAGAGTGAAAAGAGGTTGATTTGGATTTATTGTATTAAAATAGTTTTAATGTGTCTACAAAAGAGACCAAAATATGTAGGAGGTGTAGTCTTGTTTTTATGATGTAGATTAATTCAGTAGTAATACTGCAACATAGTGTCAGGTGGGTATTGTACTTAATGAAACAGCAGCTGTGATACTGGCCTACAGCTTACAGCTCTGCTTACTGGCAGTTTAAAGAGGGAGTTGAGATTTTTGGGGTGTTCTTGTCCTCTTCCCTCCAAGGAAACTCCCTTTTTCAAGTGTAACTTGTATATCAAAGGAACTGCTTCTTGTGAGTTCATCAGTTTCAGCTTCTAAATGCTCACTGTTCTTTCATGTAAGACTGTATATTATGTACTTTATTTCCTAGTCTTTTCAAGAATTATTTCTAGATGTTGTTTTGCTTTTTCTTACACAGAATCTGTGATGCTCAAGTATATTGTGCAAGTATCAAAATAAACAGGCAACCACTAAAGCAGGGGAGATTGCCTCAACAGCAGAGATTGTAGTGGACTTAGATCAAAAGCTGTAAGACAGATGAGAGCAAGGGAGTAAAGTACATCCCAAAACAACAACAAAGCTTATAACTTGAGGAATGCCAGAAACTGATTCCATTACACTGAAAAGCCCGAGTTATGCAAGAAGTTTGAATTTTCACCGAATGCAGAATTGTTTCCTACCTTATTGAAAACTAAACTAAGGCAGAGTTCCAGCAATAAAGAAATTAATAAAAATTTCCATTTCCAAATTTGATCTGTTTTCTACTCATAATAAATTTTGGTTATTTTGTCAGCCTAGTGTCCTTAATGAAGCTGATGATGTAATTTTGTGAGGTTGTACGAATACAGTCTCTTGTTTCTTAAAGAGCTGCTATAAAGCTAAGCTGCTTTATAAAAGCTCTTTTGTAGAGTTTGGTTGGGAGAGATGAATTACCTCCTTATTACAATCCAGCATATGTATGGAATGGAAAAAATAGTTTGTTTGACACCTTAAAAGCCTTTTAAGGTAAAACTGGCTTGGGAGAAAGGCAGATTGTTAAATGTAGCACTGAAAACAAATCAAAACCAAACAAAAAACCCCAGCCTGACAAAACATTTCTGCTTTCTTGGCAGTGGTTTTA